CTGCCCGTAGACAAGCAAAATCCCTGGGACCTCACAAGGTCTCAGTGGAATGTGCCAACGCAGTACCCGCGCTGTGCCTCACGGAACACAAAAGTCTGAAGATAAAAACAGATTCAAAGGGAGAAGCATGAATTTCAGTCCTATTCATAAGCAATTCAAATGCATTTTGCAGACTGAGATGTATGGCTCTTCCCTGGCTCTTGTATATTTCAGGGCCAACTTTCATGTTCCATTTTCCACATCCCAGATAGAAAATTGAGATCTGTTTGGCACTGGATCTGAGAGGGGATAAGGAAAGACCTACAAAATAAGCAACGGGAAAATCAGCCCTCTCCTCACTGTGGTGTGGAGAGGAGGAAGGGGTGGGAGAGGGAGAGCATTCCCGAGGGAAGAGAGACCTTGCTCCTCTACACACGAGACCGCCCAGGATGGCCCTGCGTTCAGACCCTGCACCAGCACTCTTGCTTATGGTACAGACTGGATTGAGAAACGTTGTTTTCTTCAGTATCAGAGAGAGGTTGCCACAAACCAGCTATGTTTGTTCGTGTGCTTGTTTCTCTTTCTTTCTGACAAGTTTATGGGTCAACGCTGAGCGTTTAAAAAGGCGAGCAGGGAAATACAAAGGTGGCTGGATTCAGACATCAGACCTGCAGAAAGGACACTCAATTAGCAACAGCACTGCCAATCCCTTATCTCAGCCATGAGGCACTGAAAAGGAAGGCTTAAACCACAGTCATAAGGTGCTGAGACCAAACTAAAAACAGCCTTGTCAATTCTGTCCCCACCACGCCCCCTTTTCTTCCATTTGGACCATAAAGTACAACATAAGTGTCTAAAGAGTACAATGTACAGTAAGATTGATTAAAGCAGAGAAGTCTCATAATCCTGTATTAAGGCCAAAGGAAATCAAAACAGACTCAGGTTGCAGCATGTGCTCATAAAAAAAGCTCTCAATTGGATTTCATAAGAAATATTGATCTTGAGCTCTGAATCCTTTCACTCTGGCTACCACGCATGATTGGGGTCAGTACCTTCTATGTTGAAATTCCTTCGAGGGCCCGATTCATGTAGACAGAAGACAATGTATTAGAGTACGTTTATTAAAACAAATTATATCTCAGGCTGCTTATAAAAGCAACCAAGAATACGCTTATTGAAAGACTAGAGATGTTTAAAAGGAAGAGAGAGGAAAACAGTCCATGTTATCTATGGCTCTCTTCAACATTACAAAACATGTTGAGGTAAAGTTTTATTTAAACAGACTTGGTTATATTAAAATGATCTCAATATCATGTTTAAACATCAATGATATATTTTACATCCACTTTTTCACTAAGTACACCATTCAAGATTTGTGATCATCTTACTCATTGGAATTACTATGTACCTTCCAAAAGTATCACCCATTAAAACTGGCTCTTTGTCTTTTGTAGCTGAATTTCGCCAATGGCTCTGATCGTTTACCTATCCGTGCATTTTGCTGAGTAAAATAACAATTCACATTTGCATTGACAACATTCTACATAGATGTTTCAAGTCTGAAAACACAACCCAATGTGATGTAAAAATCACACCAGTCAAAATCACTGTTTCTCTACTGTCTGTAGTGAATCTCTCCTTGGCTTGAAAAAATTTGTAAACTAATCTAAACTTTCAGATGCAAAATGCTTCAAAGATGCCTTTGGTAAAATAATCCACTAGTGGCAACATGTTTATGATACTTCTTTCTAAAATGTCTGAAGGAAAGGCAAATCCTGGGCAACTAACTGGGAACCCAAGAGATCCCAGTAGCACCGGAAAGTTTTGGTTCAGTTCATGTCTAACTAAAGGTGGGAAGATGAGAAGAGTCCATTTCCAAACACTTCTTCTCCCTCTGCCTTTCAGGTTCAACATTTCCTTATCTCTGATCCTTCAGAACATGAGAAACAATTTCTAAACTGGGCCTTGCACATAGCAAAATTGCTTCTGCTTGCAAAAATCCTATTATCCACCAGCAAGTTTATTCTGGAGTGAGCCAGCCTCTTCTACTCCAAAGAGCTGTGCTGCCTTTATGCAGAGAATCCTTCTGACCGACCTCAGATGAACACAAAGACATCCATTCTATAAGCCTCAAGGTGGTCAAGTCAAGAGCAAAGACCCTGGCCATTAAGCATTGGTTAGTTTTTTAAAAAAGCAGAGCATCACCTTTCCTGTTCATAGGTGCTACAATCCAGTCCATGGCTTTCATTTAAAAAAAGAAAAGAAAGACAAAAGAAAGGGAAAAAGCCTACTGAACCCTGGAGTAGGAGCTAGGCCAAAGAGGAATTTCTCTCCTGGGAACTTTAGTAACATAATCGAAAGAAGTGAAAAATGTGAATACCAGATAGGCCATTCTTCAGCCCACAGAAGCAGTGGTGAAAATCCCTCAAATGAAATCTTTATTTCAGTTTGTTAATCATCCTGCAACCTTGGACCAAAAAATAATTAAACTATACTTTTTTCTTTAACTTACCATACAACCTATGTATTTAAACTCATCTTTCATGGAAACTACATAATCTCCCTTTCATTCAAATTTCCCTTGTTGATATATGCAAACCAGGTCAGTTTCTGCTGGATTTGCATACTTGCATTTTATCCCTTAATTTGACTTCTTATTAAAGGTTTAAAAAAGAAAAAGACCAGGACTTCAGATGCGCATAAAACAAATACTGCTTATATGTCTATGTGAACACTGACACCATTAACAGACCCCTCCCCTTTTTCCTTGGGGCTGAGAGCCCTGTCAATAATCATTACTTATTAAACAGTCTGCCATTCTCTTCTACAGAAGGTAGGAAAGGAGTATGGAGGGATAGAAATAATTACCTTGGGCTTTAAAAAAAAACACCAAAAACACCGCCGAACGGATCACAAGGAAACCAATTGAAAAAGAACATGAGATACCTCCCCATTCTATCCCCCTCCTCCCCCGCGTGCATGCTCCCACACACACACCCACCCTCCCCATACAGGAGGTTGAGAAGTACACCCATACTCCATTTTTCCTATCAGCTGTATCAAGAGAAAAGATTTAAAAATCTGGGATTTTCAGAACAGACACATATATTTCAATCCACTGCAAATGTTCACACCTACACTTGCCCATCCTTTATCCCTTCACAAAACTCAGGCTAGATTTGTGGAGAGGAGCCTCTGAACATCTCCTGAGAAAACGCATTCTCAGAAATGACTGCTTCAGCCAACAGAGAGAGAAGCGGCAAGTTACTGGTTCCACTGCCATTCTGGTTCGTGGCAGATTCCCTCCTTCCCTTCTCCCCGTCTCCCAGTTGATCTTCTAGCCAATTTTTTCCAAAGCAGAGTAAGGAATGGCATACGGGATTTCTCTCATTTTTACTTACAAATAACTCCTAAATTTTAAAAAGAAAAAAAAGTTTTCAAGGATTAACACCCAGGGTAAGAAAGACACAGATCAGGGAAATGAGAAATTACCCGAGGAATGAAACCAGCCAGGTATCCCTACTGAAGAGTTAATGATGAGCACGCTGCCTTTTCCCCAGATGCTAAGGCTCAAAACCCAAATACACGATGAAGACAGCACAACCGGGCCATTTCGGGAGAACAGCCTTGCACAGAACTTGAACTGGCAGACTGGGAGTTTGTCCTAAATAACCTTCACAGGTTGAACAAACTGTTCCCAGATCCTGATCAATAGTCAGATTAGGAAGCTCCCTACGATTTCCTTACTCTAAGAACAAGGTGGGGACTGGGGATGGGATGCCCATCAGTCTTCTAAAAGATTCATAAAGATACAGAGAAATACACACCTCCTGTAGGAATACATAGAAAGCTGTCGTGCTTTGGGTAGACTGGCCAACACTGGCAGCAATTGAGCAAGAGGTTGGAGATGCTACATTCAAAGTGTGACCTGTTTCAAAGGGTTGGATGTTGTCATCCTCGAATGCACAGAGCTCTGTCCCATTCCACCTATATGTATATATTTTCCAGGCACAGAGGGAGGCGAGATTAGGTTCACACCCCACCTTTGGGAAAGGAAGAAAAGCAATTGCTTGGCAGAGCTGAAAGCGCTCCCCCTTCCTCAGGACCCTGGAGGCGGCAGCTCTGCAGGGCTCCCTTCACATTTCCCCCAGTTCACTCACTCTCGGTGGCCACAGAATCAATTTCCACGCTAGGAATGGCCATGGGCAGGCTGGAGGGGGGGGGGGGGGGGGG